AATAGATGGAGTTCATAACTATGCATTTGTGTACTTTGCTCCTTGCTTCATTGAAGGCTTTATGATTATAGAAGTGCAGATCCTTCCAAAGATAAATGGTTCAGGGAATGGAAAAGCAGAGGGGAGCCTTTTAACTGTGGAATGACTGATCTCTCCATATTATCCTTGACCTAAGATGACATATCCAAGGGGCTTCCCAGATGATAGCTCAGTTGGTAAAGAAACCTCCTGCAATGCAGGAGACCTCAGTTTGATTCCTGGGTCGGGAAGCTCCCCTGGAGAAGGGATAGGCTACCCACTCCAGTATTCTGGCTTGGAGAATTCCATGGACTGTGTAGTCCATGGGATTGCAAAGAGTTGGTCATGACTGACTGACTTTCACTTTCCCTTTCCCAGATGACACTAGTGGTAAAGAACTCGCCTGCCAGTGTGGGAGACATAAGAGATGCAGGTTTGATCCCTGGGTCGGGAAGATCCCCTGGAAGAGAGCATGGCAACTCACTCCAATATTCTTGCCTGAAGAATCCCTTAGACAGAGGAGCCTGGCAGGCTACAGTCCATAGGGTTGCACAGAGTTGGACAGGACTGAAGCAACTTAGCATGCACAGTGTATCTGCTACTGCTGCTGCTAAGTCGCGTCAGTCGTGTCTGACTCTGTGCAACCCCATAGACGGCAGCCCACCAGGCTCCCCCGTCCCTGGTCTGTCTAATTTGAGAGCACACTTGAGTTTCCCCAGGCTTCTTTTCCCACTAAAAGAACAGATCAAGGAGAGAAAGTTCTTGGAATCTAAGTTCTACCACTCGTTAATGATGTGATCTGGGGGCAAATTATCCCAGCCTCTCTCAACTTGAGATTCCTCATCAGTAAAAGGGGATATAAATGGCATCCACTTGATAGATCTGTGCTGAAGATGAAACGAAATAAGATAAAGCCCATGGAACTCTCAAAACAGTGTCTGGTGCATACTAGATGTTCCATCAGTGTTAGCAATGATTAATAATTAATAGAAGCATCTTAGTGGCATCAAATACTGATGACATAAAGAATGATAGTGAATGAATAAGTTTCACTAGCTCTCCTCTGAATTGTTTTACATTCAGTTATTTTAGAGGTAGCCCCAATTTATGAAAACGAAAACGTCAAATTCTTGCTGTATTAAACAAAAACACTTCTTGTCTTTTTTCCCATTCTTATGAGACAGCTGATAGAATGAAAAGAAAAAACCTTGGTTTTGGAGTTAGCCCAAACCTGGGGTTGAATCCTGTTCACTGTGTTTGTTGTATGCCTGCATGCATGCTCAGTCCCTTCAGTCGTGTCCGACTCTTTGTTACCCTATGGACTGTGTAGCCCACCAGGCTCCTCTGTCCATGGGATTCTCCAGGCAAGAATACTGAAGTGGGTTGTCATGCCCTCTTCCAGGGAATCTTTTGACCCAGGGATCGAACCTACATCTCCTTCATCAGGCTGTTTCTTTGCCACTGAACCACCTGGTTAGCTCTAATTATACAGTAGGAAACCTAAAAAGAAACAAGACTCCTGTGAGATGAGACCACCCCCACTCACCCTGGGGGCATCTTATTAATCTTGAAGAAAGATGCAGGCTCTGGTTCTACTCCATGTAGGTGAAAAACTTAGGGATGACAAGGCACTGGTTTGGGTTTAGTCGTGTCCGACTCTTGCAGCCTCATGGACTGTAGCCTGCCAGGCTCCTTTGTCCATGGGATTCTCCAGGCAAGAATACTGGAGTATTTTGCCATTTCTTTCTCCAGGGGATCTTCCCAGTCCAGGAGTCAAACCCGGGTTTCCTGCCTTGCAGACAGATGATTTACTGACCGAGCTATGAGGGAAGCCCAAGGCACTAGTTGTGTGTTTTTACCTGCCTTTGAAAGAGAGCAGGACCCTGTGGTCCTTTTCCCTCATGTTCTCAGCCTGCATTTTGTCTGTAGAAAAACTTTAGGCAAAGAACAAATATAGTTAGAGAAGTGAGATCATGTAGAAACTAAGGAAAACGACCAAGGAGACCGAATAATAACAATGAGATAGCCCTAAAGCGCAGTCAGCGACACTTAGCTCCTTCTCAAGGGCTGTAGATAACGTTCTGGGCCACATCCTGTGAGCTGTCACATAGATACCGAAACTCCCACCGGGTGAGATAGTTAGCTACATGAGGAGCAGACTGTGGCCATGACATAAGCTGCCACAGTTCCAAGAACTGGCCTCAAAGGCATGGAAGCAAACTGATCCTGGAACTGAGGATTAACCGTACCTAAAACAATCAGGATGATGCTGGTCAGACCACTGATGACCAATTTCAAGATGACTGTCAGCTGTGTTGTGTGTGTGTTGTATCTGCCTGAAGCCCCCTCCCTCTGTCTATGAAAGCCCTCATCCCTTGATTGTCAGGAGTGAGGGGGCATTGGCCTTTGGACTGGAGTCCACCCTCCCCCCAGTTGCTAGCTTCTAAACATCTAAATAAAGCAAACTTTTTTTTCTACCAACCTGGCCTCTTTAATGGCTTATGAATGGTAAGTAGGTAGACCCCTCTTTTGGTAACACCTTTACCTTCGTGAGTATGTATGTGTGGGGTGTGTGTGCTTTCACACTCATGCATGTAAAACTCTCTTTCACATTTTGATTGGTTGTCAAAATGTTGACCATTTGACCAAAATGATGACTGGCTCATTTCACTTCGAAGAGACGTATAATTGCTAGTGTAAACTGAATGAGTGTTTGCCGTAGAGCCTTTATGAGTGAAGGCAGAATGAATAAAAGGTAGAGCATATGTGGTTTGCATGCTTTCTGAGCTACCATCTGCTTCTTTACATACTTGCTAATAATCAGAACCTTAGCTCTGGAGAAACTGTAGAACTTTAGGGAAATCTGGAGAGAGTAAACCCAATTAGGTATCAAGGACCAGAGAGCACCATGGATGAAGATGCCTTTTTGAAGTTTCTAATCCTGTAGTCACAAAGGCTATGGCTCCTATTAATAGGAAGCTGAGAACCTGGGCGGGATCATCATTTGACACTTACATCATTGGGAATTTCTTTCTTTCACTAGAATGATCAGGGACCGAGAATGCCATGTTGGCAGAAGCTGAGACAAGAGAAATGTAGGTTATAGTCCATGGAACTGTGAATTCCTCTTTCTCCCATTCTTAGTTTTATGAATCCAGTAAGTCTCCTATATATGAACCTTCAAATTTTTAACTCTCAAAGATGTGAACGTGCATCACTGAATTGCTTTTTCAAGGGGAAGATAGAATTGAATCCAGCCAGGAACCAGAAGCTGTGCCATCCGTGTGAGTGATGGCATATTAGGTGTGAGTGAAATTGCAGCTTGCCCCTGTCTCCTGTTGCTGACGTCCCTTCAGCTCTACCATCTCCCACCTCTTCTCCCTTCTCCATCAGGAACTCTTCTTGCCTGTTCACTTGATGCCAGCCCCTGCATGCCAGCTATTGTACTATACTACTGTACTGTACTTTTATAAGTCCTGTCTTATAAGATGAAAAGTATTTTTTTTATTTTTTGTATTTTTTATGTATTATTTGTGTGAAAAGAATTATAGACCTTTTACAGTATAGCCCTACGTAACTGATTGTGTTAGCTGGATGCCTAGATCAGATTTGTTGGAGTTAAGAACAAATTGGACTTAGGAACACACTCTCGGAACAGAACTCGTCTGTATGTAGAGGGCTTCTTGTGTTGAAAAACTACCAAACCACTAGAAACAAGAGAGTAGATTTTCTATTTCTTCCTTTCTTGATTGCTTGATTCTTTTGGCTTTGGTGGGAGGTGTCATGAAAGTGGTAAAAAAGGCAAAAGAGAATAGTCTGTATTTTTTATACTTGCAAGAACACACAGAATAATTATCTGCTATTTCTTCCCTCTCCCCACCCTTCCCCCCAGTGAAACCCCAAAGCACAATGGACAAGAAAGCCAACGTTGTTAATGTTCAAAGGTGGAATTACATCTTTCTGTGTCTGGGTGTATTTTGCATTATAATGCAGCCTTGATGATAGCATTTCTCAGGAAAGCCTGCCAGGCTGTCTCAGCATCAAGAGGCAAAAGGGGAGTGTAACTGGCAGCGTGTGGGGAAAATATTGCAAGGAATGTACTTCTGGGGGCAATTTACTTTGATACTGTTCTCTGAAGTATCAAAATTGGGTTGATACTGTTCTCTGAAGTATCAAAATTGGGTCTTCATCTTTGACAAAGGAAAGTATACATTCTCAAACTGAACCATATCAGGGGTAACAAATGTATGCCTTTGGGAAGAAAGTATTGTTGTGGAAAGAACAGGCTTTGCAGGCAGATCTGGGTCCAAGGCACTTACTAGCATTTTGATCTTCGTTGTTGTTCAGCCACTAAGTCATGTCCGACTCTTTGCGAACCTGTGAACAGTAGCACATCAGGCCTTCCTGTGCTTCACTATCTCCCTGAGTCTGCTGGGACCTGTGTCCATTGAGTCAGTGATACTATGGAAACCATCTCATCCTCTTCCACCCCCTTCTTTTGCCTTCAGTCTTACCCAGCCTCGGAGTCTTTTCTAATGAGCTGGCTTTTTGCATCAGCTGGTCAAAGGGTTGGAGCTTCAGCTTCAGTGTCAATACTTCCAATGGATATTCAGAGTTGATTTCCTTTGGGAAATTGGGAATAGGATTGACTGGTTTGATCTCCTTGCTGTCCAAGGGACTCTCAAGAGTCTTCCCTAGCACCACAATTTGAAAGCATCAGTTCTTGGCTCTCAGCCTTCATTATGGTCCCACTCTCACATCTGTACATGACTACTGGAAAAACCATAGCTTTGACTATATGGACCTTTGTCGGCAAAGTTAGGTCTCTGCTTTTTGATATACTGTCTAGGTTTGTCATAGCTTTTCCTCTAAGAAGTGAGTGCCTTTTAATTTCATGGCTTCAGTGATTTTGGGTCTATGGCATCTAAATGACAATTCTTCCCACCTTTCACTCATTCTCCTCTCTCTCCCTTCTCTTCTAGAAATCATTATCGCCAGAGAACAGCCATAACCGGGGCAGCTTCTGGGAAGTGCTATTACACGCTCACCTTTACCATCACCTTCCCGCATGCCGAAGATGCCTGCTATCTGGCTTACCACTATCCCTACACCTACAGTGCCCTCATGGTAAGTTCCTCTGTCAGCCCTGTCCGGGTTGGAATGAAGGGGCTCTTTGAGGCTTTCCTGGAAACCTTCAGGAAACCCTGATATCCTGGTGGGGAACTTCAGGCATCCAAGGGAGCCAGGGATTTTTGTTTCTGGCTCGGGGGCTTTCCATCTGCCCTGTTTCCTTCCTTGGACAGAGCGCAGGGCTGAGGTCATGACCAGTGACATTGAATGGCCCCAGTGGCGTATATCGTGTTCTTCATCTGCAGGTTGAGTGTGGGATGCGAGGGGCAGGGGGCACTTTTTAGGGGCTTTACCTTTAAAAAGCCCTTAATATACATTGTTGCAGGAGGACAAATGGCTGAAGATTAAAATTCATTTTACCAAGGCCAAAACCAAAGCAAAGAACATCTTTGCTTCCAGAATGAACTTCTGGAAGCAAAGAAAAAGTTTGAAAATTTTCTCAGCTAAACAAATTCGATCATGGGTGTTGTACATCCTCATGTGATTTTTTTCGTCTTGTCATATTTTGAGGCAGCAAAACTGATATTCTACTTTTGTTTCATGCCTACAAGAAGTAAAAAGTTCACAAATATAACTTTAAAAAGTACTCCCAGTCTAAATAAAATTAACTAAAATTTCATTGCAATTCTGAAAGGTTATTTCCTTTTATTTTAGAAATGCAAGTATACTAAATAAATATAGGAAGGTTGGAATCATGATTTAATAAATATCTATTAGTTTACCCTAAAAAAAAATAAAAAGAAAACTCTCAAGTTAAACAAGGAGAATGAGATTGGAGTGAGATTATAAGCTGAAATGGGCTAACACCATGCAGGTCAGCTGAGATGCCAATTTAAGGACATGGATGCATTGAGAGGAGTGAAGCAGAGAGTGAGGGGCTGAAGCTTGGAAAAATGCCCTGAGGTCACCTTGCAGCCACTTTAGCATTTCTAGTGATTTCCTCTGCCATGGACTAGAAGGATCCAGGGTGGACAATTAGGGTAGAAGAATAAAACATTGAATCACTGCAAATAAAGATCAGGATCTTTTTACAAGAGGAACGTAGTGTCAACCAGTCCAAACTTGAAGTTATCATTCAGATATCTTATCAGGCCTTACACGGGGCTTGTCAGACCAATCTGTGCAAATAGCTTAAACCATGCAGTTTCTTGCCATTTGAAAAAGTTGGCAAACCATCCCTCTCCCCAAGCTATTTCATGGATATCCTGTGGATTCATGAGCTAAAGTATCTAATAAAGTACTTCCATCCTCTGTGTTAATGCAAAATGTTATTAGCATATTTATAATAATATGTGTATATGCAAATATATATCACTTATCCTGAAGGATAAGCATTTTCATTGCAAGCCTGTGATAAGGATTTGGAAAAGATGATAACTGAGAACACCTTTTCCTTCCAAAGAAATATTCAAGTGTAAATGCAATGTGTTTTCTCCATTGAGAAGGCATACCTTAAACCACTCAGCTAACTGCTTCATAAAAGTACATCTGCCCTTCTCTCCATATGCTGGCTTGCCTAAAGAGAGATTTTTTACTGTTTCCCAGATTGTAAAAGATACACAACTAGTATTATTTGTGGATTGCACTTAGAGATCTCAAGAACTTAATCCAAGAAATGTGCATCACCAGCTTTGCTATAACAAGTCTTGTTTGTTTTAAAACATGCTTGTTGCCTTGAGGGCCTCAGAACAGGCAAGATTCATGATCTCCTTCAACAGCTGTTCTTACTGTCTCTTCTATGAAACCCTGCATGTTGAAAAGTCTACTGGTGAAGGGGGTTCCTTTTTAAAGACAGGTTTGATTTTTCTGTTGGAAAATGGTCTGTGGGTCCAGGCCACTGTTCTTTTTACGTGTTAGAATATCTTTGTCCTACAGACTTAGAGAATGGACTTGTGAACTCAGGGGGAAGGAGCGGGTGGGATGATTTGAGAGATTAGTATTGACATATATACACTACCATGTATAAAATAGGTAGCCAGTGAGAAGCCGCTGTATAGCACAGGGAGCTCGGCCTGGTGCTCTGTGATGATCTAAGGGCTGGGACGAAGGAGTGGAGGGAGGCTCAATAGGGAGGGGATATATGTGTGTGTGTATATATATGTGTTCAGTTCAGCTCAGTCGCGCAGTCGTGTCTGACTCTTTGCGACCCCATGAACCGCAGCACGCCAGGCCTCCCTGTCCATCACCAACTCCCAGAGTCCACCCAAACCCATGTCCATTGTGTCGGTGATGCCATGCAACCATCTCATCCTCCTCTGTCATCCCCTTCTCCTCCTGCCCTCAATCTTTCCCAGCATCAGGGTCCTTTCAAATGAGTCAGCTCTTTGCATCAGGTGGCCAAAGTATTGGAGTTTCAGCTTCAACATCAGTCCTTCCAATGAACACTCAGGACTGATCTCCTTTAGGATGGACTGGCTGGATCTCCTTGCTGTCCAAGAGACTCTCAAGAGTCTTCTCCAACACCACAGTTCAAAAGCATCAATTCTTCAGCACTCAGTTTTCTTTATAGTCCAACTCTCACATCCATACATGACCACTGGAAAAACCATAACCTTGACCAGACGGACCTTTGTTCGAAAAGTAATGTCTCTGCTTTTCAATATGCTGTCTAGGTTGGTCATAACCTTCCTTCCAAGAAGTAAGCATCTTTTAATTTCATGGCTGCTGTCACCATCTGCAGTGATTTTGGAGCCCCCCAAAATAAAGTCAACCACTGTCTCCACTGTTTCCCCATCTATTTGCCATAAAGGGATGGGACGGGATGCCATGATCTTAGTTTTCTAATGTTGAACTTTAACCAACTTTTCACTCTCCTTATATGAGAGAGAGAGAGAGAGAGAGAGAGAGAGAGCTGATTGATTCACGTTGTTGTACAACAGAAAGTAACACAAAATAGTAAAGCAACTATAGTCCAATTAAGAAAAAAAAAGATTACCTTTGACCCTGTGGAAAAGCTCAGTGGCAGCTAGTATAAAACTTTAGAATTCTAAAGGGTTTGGGAAATTGTTTAGCTCACATTTATCATTCATAGAGGCAAAATCTGAAGCCTAGAAGTCCCACATTTAGCTAGTGACCAGAGAACTGATTATTGGCCTTTGAGGTCTATTCCTATCTGATGGAGACTCTGAGGGTCCTTCAGCTGACCTTGGCTGCATCTGGCTTCTTAATTTGAATTTTAGATCGGAATTAGCTTGTATGCACTTAGCAAAGACCCATCAAAGCTTCTTGGAATAAGAATGCGATCATGTTTGGGAAACAGCACTGTTCTCAGCTGAACCACATCCATAGCACTCAACGTTACAGACAAAAATTGTGGGTTGATGACTTGAACTCAATCATCGGAGTTTGTGTAATCATACAACTTGATGAACATGTGCACCTATAAAAGTGAGCCGCCATTGTAGTAGGTGCTGTATGTCGTAGCTTTTGTCTCAAGTCTTAAGTTTACAGTCAACAATTAGTAATAGTTTAGGAGCCACTGAGGTCAAGCTGGGGATAATTTCGTATTGATGGGGGACAAAAACTCAAGATCTTGGAAGATGGTCTCATCTTCCATTAACTGATCTCTGTGAGAAGAAGAGAAAGGTCTTGTTCATTGATGCTTATTGGCTTGTTATTTAGCTTATTGACTGAATCGCTTCCCATTAGGGAAGTTTGAGGAGAGTTAATGAGAAAAAGAGACAGGAAAAAGGATAGCTTTTTATCCTTTTAAATGAGTAGAACAGAGTAAGAAAGACAATTTGTTACTTGAAGTGAAAAACATATATACTTGATTTTAGGTTTTATGTTTCCAATAATGCATGGACTTTGTCCTCTTCAGGTTTAAGACAGTAATTGACTCTGTGACTTCTTTTAAAGAGCTCTTTATCCCATCATGGACAGAATGAGTTCATTTTGTAATGCACACTAGTCATTTTTATTTTTGGACATGTCCTAAGGAGAAACAGTTTTCTTCCAACAGTTCAGTGATAAATTATATGTGGATGATACCCCAAGAGTGGAATTAGCTGTATTTTACTTGGGGGTTATGCTGAGGGGTGGAAAATATATTTCTATGTGGAATTCACAATTGGTAAATCTCTTGTAATATGGATTATGCTTAACAATTATAGACATTTTTAAAGCAGGGTACATGTATGTTGAATGTTTTTCAACATGAACCTTAAAAATTTTATTATTCTCTTATAATGAGAGAATTAGTATTTATTGGGTTCTTTCAAATTGATGTCTTCTAGATGCTTGTCAGGAATTCTGTTGGATAATCATCCAAATTATAGTATTAAAATAATGTTAAAAGAAAGAAATACAATATTATTGCCATTACAAAGCCAGCAAAAGACCTGTTTAATCATCCATCTCAAGCTTTCTCAATAATTGTAATGATTGTTAATGTGTTGTTTGCAATACTTGTTGAAGTATTTGGTTCATGTTCTGGATTGCCCGTAGGTAGCCAGGAGTATTGGGATCCCAAGAGAGTTTCTGATGGACATTTTAGAGAGTAAGAAAGTGGAATCTCACTGAGAACTTATAACAATATGAGTTGGCAAGAGAGGAAAAAAAAAGTGATCAGAAATAGGGTGGATGTGTTGGGAGAGCTTGTGGCTTTTAAAGAGTAGAATAGAGTTTTTCACCAGACATATATACTCCCTGAGCTAGTAACCATCAGCAGGTAACCTGCTGAGGTCAAATGAAGTCTTTTATGGGAATTTTAAGGGAGTAGCCGATGAAGCTTTATCTTTAGAGATAAAATGGAAGATAGTGTAGTAGGAAGTAGAAGGGAAGGGACAGGGAGAGAGGGAGGGAGAAAGAAAGCGTTGAGAATTAGGATGCCATATTTACAACATCTTATAAAGAGCTCACATTTAAAACATGTCAAATGGGAAGTATTGACTTACATGTGGTAGATCAAAGATGCAGTGAGTGAGTCATAAATCAGTGTTGTCATTTAATCAATCGACAGACACCTATTTTTGTATGGGCCAAAAGAAAGGACAGAC